AAAATGTTCTAAGGCTCCTTCTTTAAGTTTATCCTTTTGACAATAGAAGATCTTTTTAGGTCTTTTGGACGCCCCTAGCTTGAGAATTTCTATTGTAGACCAAATATCTCCATCATTTTTCGTTTTTTCCGAAGACATGTAAGCTTGGCCATATTTTATAACCTTTCATTGAAATGTATTCGAAATTTATTTCCCGAAGAAAGTAAAAGTATATTTTTCAATTATAAAATCTTCATAAATATACAATTTCAAAATCCTGCTTGCCAAAGAAAAATTACCCCTAAAACCACAAATTAAATACCAACTTCCATCGTAAACCTTTCAATAATCTCTTGCGGTGCTTTAATCCAATTAACTTAAGCGCTAAGCTTTAACAGTTTTTTCCTTGTACAAAAAAAAATATTTTTATGACGTACATTGACCGGTTAGCGGTGGCCAACTCCTCATCAAAAGCTACGATGGCTGGGCTGGGTTCGGATGGCTAGCTACCTTACTGGGTAATTGCGCCCATAACCATAAAATCTATGACTTAATTTAAGTCAATTCCAATGAATTGTTGTGATTGCACCATTTAGGAGGAGATGCGAAGCAAAACACCAAAGAGAAAGAGAGAGAGAGAGGAGAGAGAAAGAAAGAGGTCCAACATGTTTTCGTTGGTCATAACTCGGTTATGATTTTTTTGTGGGAAACCACAACGGAACATGTTTCAAAGTCATCAACGCAGTTAGGCAACATTGTTTTCAAAGAAAACTTTTTCAAAATGTTTATGTTTTTTTCTTCCAGTTCGGTGATAAACCACGGCTTTTTATTGGGAAAGTTATAAATTGTGGAAATTTATGAAATAATTTCTTCACTTCAAAATCGTAGTTAGGACATAAATTTGATAGTTGGAAATGGCAAATATTGTATTTATTGGTGTTGTGAAACGGGGGACCAGGTAATTGATATGAAAATATATGGGAATTTTGAAATGGCGTTAAGTATTTATCCTTTGAAAGAAAGGATAAATTTATTGAACAATAAAATTGTTAAGCTTAAAAACTTTACGTTAAAAAATAAAATCGCATGACTTCAAAACCTTAAGAGGTCTGTTGTTGCCAACAGGAGATTTCAGGTGATTTATATTTCCAAAATAAGACTTCAAGGAACTTCTACGGTCAAGACAATTGGGTGTTTTTTTATTGAAAGAGGACCGCAAGAGGACTTTTATTGTCAGTGGGGGACCCCACAAGAGACCTATTATCACAAGAGCACATAAAAGAGTGTTTTATTAGCCTACAAGGGACCTCAAGAGTTCTTCAAGTGCACTAGATGGTCCCAATGGGTCTTCTGCTATCGATGGAGAACCTCTGTTTTCAAAACTGACCTTCAAATTATTGTCGAACAAGAGTTCCGACCTCAGTTAAGGACTTCAACATAGACAGAGGTCCCCAATAAGTCTATCTCAAATTGCTATTTGAGTTGAAAGCTTTTTCTAGAAGAGGTCTTCTGCTGTCACTGTATGAGGGCTTCTGTTGGCCATAGAGGTGGCCAAGAGATCTTTCATTGATAATTGGATATCTCTTTTCAATCGAGGACCAAGAGGTGTTTTCTGCTTACCCAAGAGGCTTTTATTGTCAAACGAGGTCTCAAGTGGTTTTATCTCTCATTCTCTTAAAAAAAATTATCTTTTTTCAACAGAGGACTTGATACTATTATTTTCAAATAAAAAGTTTTCAGTATAACAAGTAAAAAAAAAAAAAACAAAAACATTAAGTTTGGACGGACCGGACTTTTAATACCCTCTACCTTTGGATAAAGAAAATATTTTTACATAAAAGTATCTGAATTCAAAAGTGTTCTACTTCAAACTACAAATACCGGCAAGACCGTTTGGATAACACTGTTAAACGGCCTCTGTGGGTCAGGCCGTTGTATGGGGTCATACCAAAACGGGAACCTCCATAGACAATTTTATACTTCAAGGATTGTCAACTACTAAATTTTTTTAAATACCAAATTTGACATAATTTCGGCGGTAAATATGCCTAGGAGTATCAAAATACCGAGTATAGGTGGGTATCATTATATGTACGCCATGGGAAAATGGGGACCTAAATTCTCAATGTTCTTCCACCGGAGGAAGAAACCCATTACGAACAACAAATACCAATTTTTAAACAAATCCGTGAAAAAATGTGGCCGAAAATCGTCAGAATACTGAATATTGGGGGGAAAGTACCTTTAAATATCGGCTATACCAAAACGTGGACAACAATACAACTTGTTCTGTCAAATTTTGAAGCTCTACGCCAAATAATGTGATTTCAACAGGCAGACAGATGGACAACGTTAAATCGACATAGAATTTTATGCTGATAATGAATATATATACTTTAGGGATATTACAAAAGGTATGACAAAGTTAATATGCTCTACCTGTCAATTGGGTTTTGAAGGTTCAAAAAAATTTATTGAAGATCCATAAACTCAAAGTCCCTTCAAAACGATATCCGCGGTTATTGGTTTGACAATTGCTTTAAATAGGCCTGAAAGTTTCGCCAAAAATCTTACGATTATTGGTCTAAACCCATTTTTAAAAATCCACGTTTGAGGGCCTTCTAAATATCCACGATAACGAGCTCAAACTTCGACCTGAAGATCCATTATAATAGACCTAAAAGTCTTTCCAAATTTTTTGTAGATCCACCATTTTACACCTTTTGTACAATCCGACCCAAAGTATGTCTATGATTATGGACCTTGAAAGATAACATAAATATGTTACAAAAATCGACAATAATGGGTCTCAAAAACAAAAAATCCACAATTAGGGTCTTAAACCCCCCTTAAATGTGTTAACAATGAAGAATAATTGACCTCAAAGTCCACAAGAAAAATCTATTTTAAAAAGCCTCGTTTCTGGGCCTGAAACCTCCTCAAAACAATCTAAAAATATATTTTAATAATGTATAGGGTTTTAAAATCCATGTTTATTGACCTAAAAGCTCTTTCAAGAATTTGTTTTAAAATCGACGTTTATAAAGCTGGCAGTCCCTAAAGGTCCTCCCAAAAACATGTTTTAAACGACCACGTTTATGTACCTAAAAGTCTTCAAAAAAATTTAGTTTTATAATTCATGTTTATGGGCCTGAAAGTACGCTCTAATATGTTTTGAAAAATCCTCGTCCCCCAAAAATAGGATTTTTAAAATCCACGTTTATGGATCTAAAAGTTCTTTCAAGGATTTGTTTAAAAATCGACGTTTATAAAACTTGAAGTCCTCCCAAAATGGGTTTAAAAATTCACGTTTATTGACCAAAAAGCCCTCAAAAATATGTTTTAAAAATCCACGTTTTTTGGCCTAAAATCCCATTCAAGAATTTGTTTAAAAATCTGCGTTTATAAGGCTGGGAGTCCCCCAAAAGTGACTTAAATTCTTAAAAAACTACTTTTGCTGGACAAAAATTCCCACAAAAATAAGTTTTTAAAAAGTTTTTTCAAGAATTTGTTTAAAAATCAACGTTTATAAAGCGTGAAGTCTTCCGAAAATGGGTCTAAAAAATCCACGTTTAATAATTCAAAAATACCTCAAAAATAGGTTTTGAAAATCCTCATTTATTGACTAAAAAAAAAGAGTTTTTGAAATCATCGTTTATTGACAAGAAATTTCCCCGAAAAAGTTTTTAAAAATCCACGTTTATTTAGACTATTAATGTCCCCAGAAAAAAATTAACATTTATCGACTTCAAACTCCGAAAATATGTTTTGAAAATCCACGTTTATAGACCTGAAAATTCCTTCAAAAAATATGTTTTGAAAATCCACGTTTATGGAACTGAAAATTTCTTCAAAAAATATGTTTTTAAAATCAACGTTTATGGACCTGAAAATTCCTCCAAAAAATATGTTTTGAAAATCCACGTTTATGGACCTGAAAATTCCTCCAAAAAATATGTTTTGAAAATCCACGTTTAAGGACCCGAAAGATCCTCCAAAATATATTTTTAAAATATAATGTACCTGAAAATTTCTCTTAAAAATATCCTCCTCCTTTCTCTAAAAAAAATCCTCCTTTAATTCCAAAATTAAATTCTCCCAAAAAAGGTCTTTAAAATTCACGTGTGTTTGCCTAAAAATCCATTCAAAATTTTTTTATTAAAAATCGACGTTTATAAAATCCCCAAGTTAATTGACCTATTGGTCTCCACAAAAATATATATAAAAATTCTCGTTTATGGGTCTGTGAGAACCTTAAAAAATATGATTCAAAAAATCCACGTTTATGGAGGCGAAAGTCCTTCTAAAGCTAGATTTAAAAAATCTACGTTTAATGACCTTTAAGTCTGCCCAAAGATAGATTTAAAAAATCCACGTTTATGGAGACGAAAGTCCTTCCAAAGATAGATTTTAAAAATCTACGTTTATTGACCTTTAAGTCTGCCCAAAGATAGATGAAAAAAAATCTACGTTTAATGACCTCTAAGTCCGCCTAAAAATATGCTTTAAAAATCCACGTTGATTGACCTAAAAGTTCGCCCAAAAATATATGTCATAAATATCTGCACAAAAATATTTTTTCAGAATCCACGTTAATTGACATTAAACTCCGCCTAAAAATATGCTTTAAAATACACGTTTATTGACCTAAAAGTGGTTCAAAAAAAATATATTATGAATATCTCTCATTTATGGAACTAAAAGTCTCCCAAGTATCTGCACAAAAATATTTTTTTCAGAATCCACGTTTTAAACTCCGCCCAAAAATATGTTTTAAAATACACGTTTATTGACCTAAAAGTAGTGCCAAAAAATATATTATGAATATCTCACATTTATGGAAATTAAATTCAACCAAAAATATATTTGAAAAATTCACGTTTATTATTCCAGACCTCAGAGGCCCAGTTAAAGATGAAGAAGCCTTCTGTCTGCGGTAACGTCTTTTGTTTGAAATTTAAACATTTTTCTCTTAAAATATATAACTCAAAACAATTGCCTTATAAATAGCACCAACTTACCATCAATTTGCAGCACAAGGCATATCAGGCCCACGGCTATGATCCAATGATATATAATCCACATTTTTTTCAAATGACTGAAATTATCTCCAAATGGTAACGACACTTATAGGGGCTCCTCCTATTTATAGTTGACTATAAATCACCAATTATCACACTCGAACACACACACAGAGACACTTTCGAACACTTGTTGCTTGTCCTCAATTCGGAACAGAGTATTTCCTCCACTTTTTTTGGAACACTTTTCCAATTACACCTTCCAATCGCCTTTCGGAAAACACCTGATGCTTGTTTTAAATTTTCATAATCGAGATAATAATACACGGCAATCACGGTCGACAAGGGGCGACATGACAAGTAACGTTGCAACATGCAGTGGTAAAAAATATACATATATGTTGCAAGTAGCACACACACACATGTATATACACTTATGAATAATTGCAACCTTTGTTGGATAAGTTATTAATTTTGCTTTTGTTTCATTTTTTGTTACAGAAATCCGTTTGATTGTCTAAACATCGATAGTGGCTGCTGAGATGTTGAAATCTCTCTTCTCTCGAAAAAAATGTGGAGAGGGAGACACACTTTCTGCTCTCTGACACTGAGACAAGGCTGATGAATAAACGTTTAGTTCGAAGACAAGTTCAAAACAGTTAACGGAATGTATGAATGAATGCAACAGGCTGGCAGTCAGAGTGGCTGGGGAAGGTTGCAGCAGCACCATAACCGAGTGGCAGTATTTTGAGTGAATGGCATTATTTGCAAGGCAACATGGGAAACATATTTTGTAGGGGGCGAGAGGGGAGAAGGGGGAACTCAGGCAAACTGTGATGACGAGCGATGATTGTGATGATGAGGATGGTGTTAAAGAGTTTCTGTTACCAAAAAAAAAAACACCTTGGTAAATGGCTAATGCCAAACAAAAACAACAACATCAAAAAAACACTTCAAAGTATCTTGGCGTGTTTCACAATTGAGGCAGAAGCACACAGACACTCCACACACTCTCTCTTTAGCCACTAAATTTTATGGCCAAGAAGGCTCGTTCTCTTGCCACTGTTTTATTGTTGTTTTTACTTCTTCGTTTTTTTTGTAATTGTTGTTGTTGTTATAAATGTTTCACATACACTTAATTTAACATTTGCGTTTTGTAAGCTATTTTTGTTGTTGTTGTTGTTGTTTTTTATTACACTTTTTTATTTCTATTCTAGTTTCAATAGTTGGTGGAGGTTGGGTTGTTGTTGATTTTTACCTAGAAATTTGTTGATTTGAATTTTTCCGGCTTTATGTGGTATTATTTTGGTATCTTCTTCTCCTACTCTTCTTTTTTTATTTTTCTATTTTTATTTTATTTTTGTTATATCAGATGTTCCACTAAATCGAAATTCCTATTTAGTTCAACACTTAACGCTTTTGCTTACCCCCGCCATTTAGTTTAGATTTTATTTTCGTTGAAAGATTCGAATCTATTTTATGGAGTTTGTTTTGGATTTGAATTCACATAGTTCTGGAACAAAGAAAGGGTTATTTGGTGAGAACAATTCGTTTTAAAATTTTATGATTTGAATTTAAAAAGAAGAAGTGAGAAAGTCTGGTTGATATTCTGTAACACTCTCAGAGTGGGTGGTGGGTGGTGAAATTTTGAATGATATTTAATACGAAACCAATGATATTTAGAGAAACCTCCTTTAGATAAAGCTCTAGCTCTTACAAATCGCTAAATTTTTCACTAATAGTTCAATAAAAATGCTGTTCAATTTCCCCTTATTTTTATACCCTCCACCTTTGAAAGGAGGGTACATTAACTTTGTCATTCGGTTTGTAACATGTCTAAATATTCGTCGTAGACCCCATAATGTATATATATTCATAATCAGCATAAAATTCTAAGTCGATTTAACGACGTCTGTCCGTCAGACAGACAGACAGACAGACAGACGTCTGTTGAAATCACGATACAGGCCACATTATTTGACGTAGAGCGTAAAAATTTAGCAGAATAATTTGTATTGTGTCTAGGACGGTTGGTATTGAAAATGACATATATCGGTACACGTTTTGGTATAGTCCCCATATAACGGTACCTCCCGATATTCGGTATTTTGATGATTTATGCCGCTTTTTTTCATGGATTTGTCTAAAAATTGGTATTTGTCGGTCATAGTGGGTTCTAGCTCCGGTGGCGAAACATTGCATGCATGGGTCCACGTTTTGGTATAGTCCCCATATAACGGTACCTCCCGATATTCGGTATTTTGATGATTTATGCCACATTTTTTCACGGATTTGTCTGAAAATTGGTATTTGTTGGTCATAATGGGTTCCAGCTCCGGTGGCGAAACATTGCATGCATGGGTCCACGTTTTGGTATAGTCCCCATATAGCGGTACCGCCCGATATTCGGTATTTCGATGATTTTTGCCACATTTTTTCACGGATTTGTCTGAAAATTGGTATTTGTTGGTCATAATGGGTTCCAGCTCCGGTGGCGAAACATTGCATGCATGGGTCCACGTTTTGGTATAGCCCCCATATAACGGTACCTCCCGATATTCGGTATTTTGATGATTTTTGCCGCATTGTTTCATGGATTTGTCTAAAAATTGGTATTTGTCGGTCATAGTGGGTTCTAGCTCCGGTGGCGAAACATTGCATGTATAGGTCCACGTTTTGGTATAGCCCCCATATAGCGGTACCGCCCGATATTCGGTATTTCGATGATTTTTGCCACATTTTTTCACGGATTTGTCTGAAAATTGGTATTTGTTGGTCATAATGGGTTCCAGCTCCGGCCAGCCCCCATATAACGGTACCTCCCGATATTCGGTATTTTGATGATTTTTGCCGCATTGTTTCATGGATTTGTCTAAAAATTGGTATTTGTTGGTCATAGTGGGTTCTAGCTCCGGTGGCGAAACATTGCATCTATATGTCCACGTTTTGGTATAGCCCCCATATAACGGTACTTCCCGATATTCGGTATTTTGATGATTTTTGCCACATTTTTTCACGGATTTGTGTGAGAATTGGTATTAGTTGGTCATAATAGGTTACAGCTTCGGTGGCGGCACATAGCATGTATGGGTTCACGATTTCGTATAGTCCCCATATAACGGTACCTCCCGATATTCGGTATTTTGATGATTTTTGCCGCATTGTTTCATGGATTTGTCTAAAAATTGGTATTTGTTGGTCATAATGGGTCCTAGTTCATGTGGCTAAACATTGTATGTATAGGACCACGCTTTGGTATAGCCCCCATATAGCGGTACTTCCCGATATTCGATATTTTGATGATTTTTGCCACATTTTTTTCACGGATTTGTCTAAAAATTGGAATTAGTTGGTCAAAATAGGTTCTAGCTCCGTTGGCGAAACATTGTATGTATAGGTCCACGTTTTTGTATAGCCCTATATAGCGGTACCTCCCGATATTCGATATTTTGATGATTTTTGCCGCATTTTCCCACGAATATCTCTAAAAATTGGTATTTGTGGGTCATAATTGGCTCTAATGTTTCCATTACCCTAAGGTGGAGGGTATTAAAAGTTCGGCCCGGTCGAACTTAATTTTTTTTAACATTCCTACCCTTGAAGAAGGAATTAAAAAAAAAAAAAATCCAATTTATTTTAATCTCTGTCTTTTAGTACTTCTTACTTCCCTTGAAGTATAAATATGCAATAATCCAGAGTTTTTAGCTCCTTTGAGCATAAGTTACTACTAGTCCATTCCGGTCGTAAAACTGCCGTATTTCACTTCCTGTGAGCCACAATTACTCTCGTACAATATTATAACGTTTTAACTCTCTGCGAACGCTCATTTTGGTACATTTCCTATAATTTATTACCTTTTGTACGAATTTACAAAAATCCATCCCTATGTCAGGACTAGTAAGTGCGCGCTACTTCGGCAACGAAAAGTTCATCTTAGAAGTTTTAGATTCGTTCCAACAGTTCGAGTTAGGCCTTTTTAGTACTAAATTTGTACAATTTGATCAGTTTGACAATATTTTTTTATGAAAACTTCCTAAATCGTACTAAATGTTCAGACCTTCAAATTATTCAAGTTTTTCCTTCCTCGGAGATATTTATATAGGAAAATTTTTACCTATTACACTAAAAAAATCTTCAAAATCTTTAATTTTGAATTTTACCGAGGAGGAACCCATATCCAATTTTTCTGTCCACATATGAGCCCTCTCCAAATGTAAACCCCAGAAACCAACATTGACCTCAATATCAAATTTCAGCTCCATCCTTCACTCAATACGAAATTTATTAACATTTAGCATGCATATTCAAAACAATCTACATCTCTCCATCCTAGAAACCAAGAATGATCCAAAATTAGTAGTATTTAGTGCTTTTTGAACACTTATGGTATGTATTTCCAAGACTACCTCCATATCTCAATTCCAGATACTAACAGAGACCTCAATATCAAAATTCGGAACTCCGGTTCTTTTCCTTCAGTCATTACCGAACTTAGTACCATTTAGTACAATTAAAGTACGCCACATCCAAAACCAGCTCCTTCTCTCAACCACAGACAGCAACAGTAATATCCATAGCAAGTTTCAGCACTTTAGCTGTATTCCTTCACCCAATACAAAATTTAGTACTATTTAGTACTTATCGTACCATTATAGTACATATTTCCAAAACCACCTCCATATTTCAATACCGAAAATTTCGGAATACCAGTCCAATTCCCTCGCCCAATAACAAATTTAGTACCATTTAGTACATTCCGTACAAAAATATAGGACACATTTACAAACCACTGCCAAATCTTTAACACAATACCATTAGTGATCAAAATCTCAAACTTCTTCGAAAAAAATTGGAGGTCACATGTCGAGAGAAAAATTAAAACGGGCTCTATCCATAAAAGGCATCTAAAGGCGTTTCAAGTAATAACCACTGCTTGATGAAGACTTTGATTTTCATATACCCTACACCACCTAGTGTTGAGGGTATTATGTCTTTGTGCATATGTTTGTAAAATGGAGAAGGAAGCGAAATAGACCCATAGTTACTTTTGAGGATCTACATAGA